GCCAAGTTTGGACAACACTGGTCTATGGCATATTTTGATTGCTGATTCTTTTACTGTTGATAGGCAATCCTAAAAAAACAAGCTACCCACTACTTCAATATTCTCATTGTCAGTTCTAAGACTGATTGCTGAATCTGTTGTCATTATTTTATATTTAATCTTATCCCATTTTTTCACTCATCACTAGAGCTTCCAGATCATTATATTTTAAGCTATCGGAGTAGTATCATCAGCATGTCACCAATTCATTTCATTTAATAATCTTACTGTTTTGGTCCATTATAGACTTTCAATAGATTATATTTCTCATCTTAACCTGTTACTATAAAAAAGTAATAAAATAATGTACATTAAAACCCTGTTTACATAGTTTCAAAATATTATGTAAAGAGAATAATAGTATGTGGAACTAATTTTGTTTAAAGCAGGAAATTTGTGTCTCAGGAGGTCAAGGTTTCTATCTTCCTAGCACTTTTATGGAATATCCAACTGATGTCATCAAATTTGAGTTCCACTGTTTTTATATTATCCCATGAATTTCACCTCCCCCAGATCTGTTTGACATTTATGTAATAACATGCAATTGCAGTAAAGCACTATTCTTATTTTTCAAGGATTTTCACATTCTTTAATTAAACTCCTCCTATTTACAAGTTCATATGTTTGCTGCTGCTTATTGATTCCAGCTGTAGGGTAATGAGAAGCATGTTAATTGCATCATGAATAGACTGTCTGAATTGCCCCCAACATAGTTTCTGTTTTCTCAGTATGGTAGGCTTTAATTACTGCTTCCTCTAATTATTTTCATTGTATAGAAATAAACAGAATATATCAATAATTAAAGCTCCTAGTTCAAACAAAAACAGAAAATCTCACTGGAGCAATTCATAGATGCTATTCAAGGGCAATCAATAGTCTCTTCATTATCAGTTTGATCTGGAAGCAGTTGGCTGAACGTGGAAAAAATAACATTTTAATTGAAGCAGCAACCAAGATCCTTATTGACTGGGACTTTACATGTGAATAAAGAACATAAAAAACAAAAGAACGATTACAGAGCACTGTATTATGTGGCAATGTCCATTCCTCATGGACAAGAGGAATGGGCATTGCCACATAATATAGTGCTCTGCAATCTTTGTAGTAATCTGATAGAGACTTGCTTATCACAAGCCATAGCTTAGCAGAAGAGGTAAACCTAACTTTTCC